TTTGTGAGAAGGCATGTGAGGGACACCGCAAATGTAGAAGAAGGTGCTCTGGTCAGATGAGACCAAAATTGAACTTTTTGGCCTAAAAGCAAAATCACCATTAACACACCATCCCCACTGCTAAACGTGGTTGCAGCATCATGTTGTGGGGATGATTTTCTTCAGCAGGGACATGGAAGCTGGTCAGCGTTTATGGGAAGATGGATGGAGCCAAATACAGGCAATCTTGGAAGAAAACCTGCTGCAGTCTGAAAAAGACTTGAGACTGGGGCAGAGGTTCACCTTCCAGCAGGACAACGACCCTTAACATACAGCCAGAGCTACAATGGAATGGTTTAGATCAAAGCATATTCATGTGTTTTAGAAGGGCCCAGTCAAAGTCCAGACCTAAAAATCCAATTGAGAATCTGTGGCAAGACTTGAAAATTGCTGTTCAGAGATGCTCTCCATCCAATCTGACAGAGCTTGAGCTATTTTGCAAAGAAGACTGGGCAAAATTTTCTTGTAGATGTGCAGAGCTGGTAGAGACATCCCCAAAAAGACTTGCAGCTGTAATTGCAGTGAAAGGTGGTTCTACAAAGTATTGACTCCGGGGGGCTGAATACAAATGCACGCCACACTTTTCAGATTTATTTGTAAAAAAATTTTGAAAAACATTTATAATTTTCCTTCCACTTCACAATTATGTGCCACTTTGTGTTGGTCTATCACATAAAATCCCAATAAAATACATTTATGTTTTTGGTTGTAACGTGACAAAATGTGGAAAATTTCAAAGGGTATAAATACTTTTTCAAGGCACTGTAATTTGCACCTGCATGAAGGTTCTGCGGAAGATGGTAGCTGCTTTCTTATGTTACCTATGCCCAGTTTCACTCCAGAGCCTTGCAGCTCAATAACCTGTCTGTATGGGACAAAGATCCTTAGAGCTGCCATTGCATCTGACCCCCAAGACTGGGTCAGGTTCAGGTTGCAATGGTCGATAATCGTGTGGATGTAGGAAACTGCAAACTTCTGACAAACCTGAAGGTCTTGATGATAAATGCCAGCCTGTCTGTCAGGGGAAGGTAATCTGGAGAACCCTTTAATTCAGATAATGTTGTCCGAGGAGCAGACGTAGCCTATCAACATTCTAGAGCTTTCAGCAAATCTGCTGGATATTCTACACTGGCTGGTCTAGCTTTTGGGATCTGTTCTGTCAGGATGCAGTTGGACAATGACACAGCTATGGAATATGTCAACTATCAAGGAGGGGACAAGAAGTTGTATTTTTCAGGAACAAGCAAACCTGATCTTGTCTTGGACAGCACTGCACATTATGCCATGCACATTCCCAATGTGGAAAGTTGGCAGGTGGACTTCCATCAGTAGTGGAAGCTGGGAGAATGGGTCCTTCACCCCTATGTTTTTGCAGAGATTTGCCTGGTATGGGATGTCTAATGCAGATCCTTTGCTGTCTAGATTCAACAACAAAGTGGACAAGTTTGTGTATCAAAGCAGGGATCCTGAAGCGTTTGCTGTAGATGTTCTGAGGTCACTTTTCCCTGATCTATGCCTTCCCTCCACTGCAGCTTCTTTCTTATCTGTTCTACAGGATAAAGATGATGAACGTTCAGTGATTCTGACTACACCTGCTTGGCTAATAAAAAAAAAAAAAAAAAAAAAAGGTATGCAAACATTGTAATTCTCTTGGACGAGCTGTGGGTTCTTCAGATAAGTAGATTTGCTATCGCAGGGTCTGATTTTCCATACTGCTTTATGATTGCTGTCTTTGACATGGCTGTTGAAGCTTAAGTCCAAAGGGGATAGTCTACCACCAGGAAGGTGTACTATTGTACATTGAAGGCTTTTTTTTTATGTCTGGTATGAGGCTGCTAAGCTTCATCCCTGACTGTATGTCTTGGTGTGCATTTTGGCTTTTCTCCAGTCCCAATCTCATAAGCACCATAAAGTTGCATATCTTGACCTTGGACGTACAATTTCAGAGACCTTTTTGCATCTCATTCTTTGTTTAAAGTCGTTGTGTAGGGTGTCGCATGGATTGTGCATCCCTCCTCCTCTCCGTGGGATCTTTAGCTTAGTCTTATTTGTTTTGCAGTTTTCTCCCTTTGAACGTTTGTAAGAGATTTCCCTTGACACTCCTTGTGCTCAAGATTGAAGCTTTTCGTTTATCTAAGCTTGAAGGATTTCAGTGTTGGCTGCCCTTTCCTGCAATTAATCATTCCTGGTTCATTAGGTTAGGGTGGCTTTGAGGCCCTGGCCTTCATTCCTACCGAAGATGGTTTCTTTGTTCCACCTGAATCCTGGACATGGATATGTAGACTAGCTTTATGTCCTAATCCTAAGAATTCTAAGGAAAATGTGCATTACTGCTTGGATGGTGTTCTACGTTAACTGATGTTTACGACTTCATTTCGACAGTCTTGATTCCCTGTTTGTTCTGCCTGAGAGTCCTCATAAGGGTTAGGCTGTTTCTCAATCCACTATTGCTAGGTGTATTCATCAGTTCATTTCTCAGAACTTTGATATCAAGAGCAAGGTTCCTTCTTTCCCAGTCAAAGCCCCTTCTACCAAGAGTGTCAGTGCTTCCTGGGCTATTTGGCATAAAGCCTCTCTTCAAGTTTGTGCTACCTGGTCTTCTCACACATTTACTTCTACCAGGTCACTTCTGCTGACACCAGTTTTTGGGTGGAAGGTCTTTCAGGCGACTTTGTAGTGGTGTTCCCCCTCTTCTGTTTTGGGAATGTGGCCTTGTTGCTCACCCCTCATGTTCAGGGCTTTAGGACATCCCAAGTAGTCTTAAATATTCCTCTGTATCCTATGATGTATGATTAGGAAATTTTAGGATTTTGGTTTTTTTTAACAGGACACATCTCTCCCCTCCCCAATTGTGTGTTCTCATTGCTTCCTACAAATCTTGTTGAGACTTGGCTAATTATGCCTGGACAGCAATACTTGCATTTTTTTTTGTGCCAGTGTCACTTCACCTTAAGATGGCAGAATAACATGTCATCATGAATATAACTTCTGTGCCCTGTGATGTACTCCCAAGAAAAGAATTAAAAAAGAGAACTAATTTCTTGCAGTTTTCTGGATCAGCTGATCCTCTGCATAGCCATGGAGGCTATACCCAAACCCCCCACAATGCTGAAGCTGTGGGGTCCCGTCTGTTATCTGACTTTTAGGCAATGGGGTGCTTTCCATACACCTAGTTTACTGTGCGAGTCAGTCACAGAACACTTTACAGGACCGTGGTACACACTGTTGAAACCTTATTCCTGAAAACTGATTAGTGAGTATAAGCCCATTGAAGGGGACAAATATGTAGAGCGGATCTGACTCACTCCAGCTCTAAAGACCGTAGGACACCTTCTACACCAACACTGTGGTAAGTCACAGGGCCTTGCTCTTTTGGAGCCTTGTGTGTGTGAGTATTACACTACTAACAGGAGGTTGAATCCAAAGGGCTCATGTACACTGCAGCTGATAAACTCATTTAGGAGCTGTTCAGCATTTTTTTTCAGCAGCCCCTGAACTCACCCTAATGTTTTCCTATGTTTCTGTGTACACATCTTCGTTTAGTCGTTTACAGGCATTTGAGTTTACAGTCTTTTTTTTTTTTTTTTTTTTTAAACGCAGAAAACTTGTGTTTAGCAGTTCATTTCATCAGCGTTTCAAACGCTTGTAAATGTGGAAAATCGCATTTATAAGCATTTGCGTCTGAAATTTTTTTTTAACTCTTCCAGTTCCCAATGCTGTCCAGAGCCTTTTTTCATCATGAAAAATGCATGCAAAGCATTTTCAAGGTACTCAAATGGATAAAACACTAAAAACAGGATCTTCCTCCCAAGCTTGTCATACATTGTAATGACCAATTCACACCTCAGACCTCTCCCACCCTAGGAAACAAAAGATATGTTAATGACCTTAGAGTGCTTTTCATTTCTGAAAGCTATAGTGCAGCTTTTCCAGAATGGATGGGGGGGAGAGGAGTGGACATAGTACTTGAGGGGTGCCTTTAACAAGTACAGCAGCACCACAAAATTGCCACGTGGGAGGTGCTATGTTGGCAAAGGCCTGAATTTTTGAATTAAAAAAAAAAAAAAAAAAAAAAAAGGCACCAGCAAAAAGCACACTTTTACACACCAATTAAAAAAAAAAAGATATCTAAACATAAGCTTTAAAGCCTAGTTTAGGTTTTGTTACTTTAACCAGCAGACCACTGGGATAATTTTGACTCTTCTCACATGCATGTAAAAATCTGCATTTTTTTTTTTTTGCAAGAAATGTACTTTGCTTTAAACAATGTTTTGGGGTTCAGAGACTCTATAGAATAAAATGGTTGTTACAATTTTATTATGCTGTAAAATATCTACACAGCCTTTTTTAGGTGCAAATGTTCAGGAAAAAAAGTTTAATTTTTGCGCACACAAACCCCATACAATGCCAAATGTTTTTGGTGAAAGAGTTTGTGTGGGCCAAGCTACTCCGAGCAATCAATTTCTGCTCTTGGAACAAAATCGAGTTGGGCTGAGCACTATTCACAGGAAGTATAATTCTGAATACAAGGCTTCCTCTGATATGGTAGATATGGTGAAGTGTCAGATCACATCACAATCTCCACCTCAGCCAATCAGAGGAAGCCTTATATTCATTCATATAAATGCAAGGCTTACTGTGAATGGCAGAACAGTGGTCAGCCGGGCTTGTTATGGTATTGGGATGGGAACTCATGGGGTGTACTGTTTCAGATGACTGTATGAGTCACGTCGCACAGGCAGATGGCACACAAATGGCCTGTTTCAGCATCCTGTTGTACCTCTCTACTTCAACTTTTTTGTACATTCTTGTCACTTCTATATTATTGGCAAGGAGAATATTCAGGAAGCAGCAAAGTGATGGTGGCTGGGCAGTGCGGCAGGACTGTGTGAATTACAAGAGTGGCTGAACAGAATTGCTACTCATTTGACATTTAAACATGTTTCTGTACTTTGTGTATTTAGCACAGGGCTTGAAAAAGCTGCTTGCCAAATGCGAGGAGAAATTCCTCTGTGGCGAGCGGTGAGCACAGACGACTGCACCTGCGCTCCAAGCCTCATTGTGAAGCAGAGTTCCGGTTTACAACTTCCGGTTTCCGGCTTCTGCGGCACCCCAGCCGCTGAGGGGACAAGTGCAGGAGAGGTCCGCTCTCCTCCGCTGAGAGGAGACACCCTCTTCACCGCCGAGGGGGGGACAGTAAGTACTGTATACAACATGTCATATCACTATAATGGAGTAGAGGGAGCTGGGGGATATACATTACTGTGTACATGTCATATCACTATAATGGAGTAGAGGGGAGCTGGGATATACATTACTGTATACATGTCATATCACTATAATGGAGTACAGGGGAGCTGGGATATACATTACTGTATACATGTCATATCACTATAACGGAGTACAGGGGAGCTGGGATATACATTACTGTATACACGTCATATCACTATAACGGAGTACAGGGGAGCTGGGATATACATTACTGTATACATGTCATATCACTATAATGGAGTACAGGGGAGCTGGGATATACATTACTGTATACACGTCATATCACTATAACGGAGTACAGGGGAGCTGGGATATACATTACTGTGTACACGTCATATCACTATAATGGAGTACAGGGGAGCTGGGATATCATTACTGTGTACACGTCATATCACTATATAATGGAGTACAGGGGAGCTGGGATATACATTACTGTGTACACGTCATATCACTATAATGGAGTACAGGGGAGCTGGGATATACATTACTGTATACACAGGGAGCTGTCATATCACTATAATGGAGTACAGGGGAGCTGGGATATACATTACTGTATACACGTCACATCACTATAATGGAGTACAGGGGAGCTGGGATATACATTACTGGTATACATGTCACATCACTATAATGGAGTACAGGGGAGCTGGGATATACATTACTGTGTAGTTTTATATTTTGGACTATTTATTCTAAAGAAAAATGTAATTTCATAAGCTTTAAGGGGGTGTGGTTGGGGTGGTGTTTGGGGCAGACCTGGGCAAGGTTGGGTGGGGCAACTGGCGGAGAGTAAGTTTTGTGACCGGCTAGTAGGTCTGGACTCGAAATGTTAACCCCTGATTTAGTAGTTTCCCTAGTGTTTTAATTGGTCAGCCATTCCAAAGCACTAAAATACCAGAAAAGAGCAATGTGTATTCCCTCTCAACCTTCATTTGCAGGATTTAACTCCGGATCCAAAAGACAGCTGACCTGAGGGCTCTCCCACATCTGTAACCATAGTTGTATCTAAAAAACAGCCTTGCTGTTAAAGTGATATTAAACCCACATTGTTTTCATTTACATTATTCCTTCTCCGTATGTGGATGATGGCACTGAGTGTTTTATGGGTTTTTTTTAATTCAAATAAAACAAAGTGTATTTTTATATAATTGATATACAGCTGTTGTGACCCCTTCCTAGCCCATCTGCAAGGAAACAGTGGGAGAAGCTTCTAGTCCAGGGGTGGGCAACTGTGACCCTCCAGCTGTTGTAGAACTACAAGTCCCATGAGGCATTGCAAAACTGACAGTTACAAACATGACTCCCAAAAGGCAGAGGCATGATGGGACTTGTAATTCACCAACAGCTGGAGGGCTACAGTTGGCCACCCCTGTACTAGTCCTTTACTGCCAGTCACATGGTGTAAAAAAAAAAAAAAAAAAAAGCCTTCACAGTACAAAGGAAAAATACATACCTAACATAAAATAACTGTTTAACTGTAAATTGCCATACAAATATTTGTGAAATTAATCTTTATTAATTTTGTGCAAAAACATGATGTGGGGTATCTAGGGGGAGGTTTTGCCAATCACAGCCTCTTTCACACCCTCCAACCTGTGTTTTGTTTGTGTGTGCTTGGAATTACAGGTGATGCCTCTATTAATCAATATGCATTATCCCTCCCCCATAGTGTTTAGCTGTTTAGAGGACATCGAGAAGGGAGGGAACTGTCATTTACCACTGTGCATTTGCACCCGTGTGACTCTATAGTCATGTGGGCTGCACAGACATGAAAACGGAGGAAATGGACAACTTTGAAGGAAAATTAAACTGGAGCATGCTCAGTAGATGTGGCAACAGATGTTCTACATAATCTCAGGCTGCAGCGGGGAAACAGAGGAAAGGACAGTGAACAGCTTGTAATTTTATATGCTGACAGTTTTTTTTTTTTTTTCTTAATGGTGTGCACTTAATTACACTTTAAACACTTGCTCTCCTGAGGATTTACCCCCCCCCCCCCCTTCCTGACCAGGCCATTTTTTGCATTATGGAGCTGTGTTACTTTACTGACAATTGCGCGGTCATGCAACGCTGCACCCAAATGCTATTTACCTTTTTTCCCCCATGAATTGAGCTTTCTTTCGGTGGTATTTGATCGCCCGTGTGGTTTTTATGTCAAACATATATTAAAAAAGTCAATTTTGAGAAAAAAAACAATATTTTTTACTAATACACATGTCCAGTAAAAAAATTTTAGGGCAAATTGTATTCTGCTACAAGTCTTTGCTTTAAAAAGAAAAAAAAAAATTTCCCAATACATGAAAATTAAATGGTTTACGGTTTTGTGTTTACAAATGGTGGTATAGAATTTTTTTTTTTTTTTTTTTTTTTTTTTTACTAGTAATGGCGGTGATCAGTGGCTTATAGCGGGACTGCAGTGGGCATTCTGACACTGGGGGGGATGAGGCGTCACTGACATCCCCAGTGACACCAATACAGTGATCAGTGCTAAAAAAACAAAAACAAAACACTGACACTGTACTAATGGCACTGGGCATGAAGGGGTTAACATGAGGAGAGATCAAAGGGTTAACTGTGTGCTGTTTTAAATGTGTCTGTGCTTCACTGTAATCACACTGCTCTGGATGGCTGTGCTGTGCACAGCCATTCAAAGCAGTGTGCACAAGCTGACAGGGAGGAGAATGGTATTGTTTAAATACCGTTCTCCTCCCCGTTGGAAATGCTCGGCAATCACCGGGCGCCGGTGAGTAATTACTCAATTTGTGGTGACACATAAGAGTGTGATATATATGCATTGCACATACATTGTAATTTATAATGAGGTAGTACAGTGAGGTTTTAGTAAGCACACATTTTGGGTTGTCATACTGTTTACCTTAAAGTGGATCTGACATCCTTTTTGCGGGTGGCTATGTTCATTTTCCATGGTCCCACTACTTGTAGGAATGTACAGTAACACCCCTTCTTGCTCACTCCCAAGATGGTCTATGGGATTTGCAGTGCACATGATCACAACTAATATGTACTGCTCATTCCATAAAAATGGAAGGGAGGTGGAACAGGAGAGGTTAGGACGCTCATAGAGGATGCTAGAAACCGAATACAAATCTGACAAGGAGCTTTAGCAGTTCCCTACTCTGCAAAAAAAAAAAAATAAAGTTCACAGTTCTTATTTTTGTCTGTTTTTTTTTACTTTTGGCTAGTTCCCCCTCTTCCTCTCAGAAGGACAGAAACTGAGGCAAACTCTCTAAGGCTGGCCAGACATTATACAATTTTCTTGCGCATTTTGCTATAAATTTCCAAAAACCATATAATATGAGGTCAAACCTAAACGACACTTTCAATTGTATCCAATTAGGCAGGCCCTGGCACTACATAGTTGAAGGTAAATCTAAAGGAATTTGGGCAGAAATTGAACAGAAAATTGTATAGTGTATGGCCAGCCTAAAACAGAAGCAGTAAAACCTGGTAAGGGTTTTTAACCTTTCCCCACTAGGAAAAAACGAGTTTATGGCTTGACAGGGTTGATCAGGGTAAACATTCAAGGTTATGGCTTCAGGCTATATGTTTAAGAATGCCTTGTGAGATTATTCACTATCCTGTATCAGGAATCAAGCCGAGTAAATAAGATGCAGAGGTTGAATTATTTAACAAGACTTGTATTATTTATCTGGAATAGGTCAATTTACTGACTGCTGATTTTACTGCAGCACATTCTCACAGCAGGAGATTCTTCCATTCAACAAACAGGCAGATTTTACTAGTTTATCATAATAAATTATAGCAGTATTAAACCCAAACACAATGGTTTGTATTACAGTTTACTGATTTTTAGAGGTGATGACTGTATTTTTGCATTTTTAAAAGCTTATTTTTCTTAAGGCTTTATTTTTTTTCTTAAGGCTTTATTTTTTTTAAGGCTTTTTTTTTTTATTTTCACCTGATGATCCAGCCATTAAATCTGTTGCATTTCAACTCCTTTTAAAAGACCAAGCTGTCCAAGAAAACCGGCAGTTAGAGGGTTGAGGCAAACCATTTATTATTTATATTATACAGGATTTATATAGCGCCAACAGTTTGGTCAGCGCTGTACATTATAAAGGGAGAAAGTACATGAGACAGTACAGTAACGATACAATTCAATACACGAGGGGTTCGAGGGTCCTGCTCCTTGGAGCTTACAATCTAGGAGGGAGGGGAGAGTGGTACAGGAGGAAATAGCTGTGGGGGATGGAGTGATAGGAAGAGTTGAGGTGTTTAGTAATTAGCTGAGGGCGGGTTAGGCTTCCCTGAAGAGATAGGTTTTCAGGGTGCGCCTAAAGGTGAGGAGAGTAGGTGACAGTCTGATGGATTTGGGTAGGGAGTTCCAGAGGATGGGGGAAGCCCTGGAGAAGTCCTGGAGACAGGCATGGGAGGAGGAGACCAGGGAACTAGAGAGTAGGAGGTCTTCTGTGGAGCGGAAAGTACGTTTTGGGTGGTATTTGGCTACTAGATCGATGATGTAGTTTGGGGCAGTGTTATGAACAGTTTTATAAGTCAATGTTAGCATTTTGAATTTTATCCGTTGGGCAATGGGAGCGAGTGGAGGGATTGGCAGAGGGGTGGTGGATACGGAGTGGTTAGTAAGGTGGATGAGTCTGGCCGCAGCATTCAAGATAGACTGTAGTGGGGATAGCCTGCGTTGGGGTAAGCCAATGAGGAGGGAGTTACAGTAGTCAAAGCGAAATATAATAAGGGAGTGAATGAGTTGCTTAGTGGTTTCCGGGGTTAGGAACAGACGTATTTTGAAGATGTTGCGGAGGTGAAGTCTACATGAGTTTGTCAGCGAATGGATTTGGGGCTGGAAGGATAGATTGGAGTCTAGGATGACACCTAGTACTCTGGCTTGAGGGGAGGGACTGATGGTGGTGTTGTTGGTCTTGATGGAGAAGTCGGGGGGGGGCGGGCTGGGGGGGAAGACTAGGAGCTCAGTTTTCGACAGATTTAGTTTGAGGAAGTGGAGTGACATCCAGTCCGATATGTCGCTCAGTAGGCTTGTGATACGAGCGGAGACTGAAGGGGTGAGGTGAGGGGTAGAGAGAGAGAGAGATTTAATAGTGACAGGGATGTTT